CTTAAAAATAGTCTCTTTTAATGAGGAAAATGCGCAACGATGTTTTTTATTTTGTGTATATGTAATTAATATAAAGATAGAAACTGAGGGAAAAATATTAAAATATAGATAAAACGCTTTGTTTCAATGATTTTAAAGAGAGTTAATTAAAGAGAGTTGATTAAAAAAACCCATATTTTGTAATAAAGAGATAAATTGAAAAATACAAATTAAAAAATTAAGAGATATGAGATTGTTACAATTTTTGTATTCGCGTGACCAAACACGTGAATGTTGCACGAATGTCAGCCGGAGAGGCGGTTGTCAGAACTTTATGATTTCTTTCTTGAAGTTTTGCAGCAAATACAGCACCACCAGGATCTGCTATGGATATCAACGACACAGCCTCTGGTAAACTATCATCTGGTAACACTCGACTTAGTTGTTCGACTAAAGCTTTTCTCGGCTGAAATTAATAAATATAATTTTAAAACATAATTTTAAAATATAACGTTCGAAATATAATGTTAAATATTTTAAGCAAAAATATACTTGGCACCATTAATTTCTAGACCAAAAATAAAAGACATTACCTCTTAAACAGTATAAGAACAACACTTGAGTGATATATTCAGTTCAATTTGATTTCTTATAACTTCCACAAAAATGAACATGTAATTTTCAATCGAAAAATGAACATGTTATTTTCAATCGAATCAACAAATAGTAAAGAACATAACGGTACCAAGAAAATATCTTTATTAATAAAAAAATTATAAATATTAGAAAAAGCATTTAAAAAAAAATAGGATATGCCATATTGAAAAGGCGTTTAAGGATTAAGTATAGATGATTCACGCAGAGTAACAGAAATAAATGACATATTAATATTATCCACAATTACTTCTGTGTTATTTAAATCGGCTGAAGGTTTCAGATCGACACTCAGACTGTGTTTCTTGGATTTATTACTGCCAGGCGTTCCTCTATCACGTGCAAAGAGTCTACTTCTTCTTTCGGAGCTTTCGTTCTTATTAGGTTGCTCCATTGATTTTGGGGGAGAACCCGATACATAATTCGGTGGATCATTCGCCTCGTGATCTGTCCAATTTTCAGGATGAGAATCGCTGTCAGCTCTTCGAGAACTGTCATCGCTCTGTCTGTCCACCCCACGTTCTGCAATGAGATTTCGTTACTGTCTGGATACATGAGAATACATGAAAATGTTATTACAATTAATATACAAAGTGCTTCAAAATCACCGGTACATATTTTAGAAGTTTCTTTTTTATTTAATGCAACAAATGTTTTGGCAAAGAAGCTTTAAATTAAAATTATATAGAGCATTCAATGAATAATTCATTGCACGTACTGTTATTAAAATGTATTTTTAATTCAAAGAATAGGATATTTTCATTTGTGAATTCTTAAATAAATTGAAGTTAATTAAAATTAAAGTTAGTTAATTTTTAGTCGACAAAAAATTATGAATATATTAATGCTAAAAATATTTAAAAAATTTTTATGATCAAATGTGAAACATCGGTGGTTTTGTAAAACTCTGTATAAGCATTCCAACAGAACAAATGTAAAGTGAAAAACAGCACAACAAATGTGCTAATATCAAAATTACTTGAAAAATAGATATCATGTGTTTGAAATTTTTGTATTTTCAAATCGAACAAATTATATCTACTAAATCAAAATTATTATTATTTAACTTTGCATATATATTAAACACTTATAACTGTTAGACGCAGCTCTGAGTTTACAAATATTTAGATTTGATGTATTCGATTTGGAAATGTCAATTTCAAAATGCTAGTTCCTATTGTAAAATATATGTATATGACACCTAGTATTTTTGCGATAAATAACGATTACCCGTGTCAATCAAACTATAAAGACAAACTTATCGAGATTACGTAGCATTTATTACAGGATATTATTGCAAATGCTAAAGAGAGGTGAATTCGTGAGATGATGTGCAAGTTGCAACGTTATTGGAAAGCAGGATATGCATGACTATAAGATTGACAGAATAAAGAATACGTACGTATATGAGTAGATAGAGAGATACAGGCCAGTACCACAGATCGAAGTCTAACAAGATTGCATACAAGAAGCCGCAAATAGACACACACCGTATGTAAAGGGGAAATAGGCTTGTACATTATAAATACATACTACAACGAATTTTCTTAAATGGAAAGTACTCGGAAAAAATTATATAATAATAAATAACTGCAAGAAAATTAAAAATGTCAACATAAATTTATTTTCACCACAATTTATATACATTGATATTTGTATCTTTTTGATGAAAAAATATTGTAGAGAGGAAATAATAAGTAAGAATAATAGAAGATACGAAATTAAAGAACTAAGTGTGTAAATACACACATATGTATCTACAGATACTAGAGAGAAAGAGGAAGAGGAAAAAAGAGAAAGAAAAGATATAGAGGCATTTGATTTATTTGAAGTGAGAGAAAATAACGTGCCACTTCGATTATTCTTGCATTTGGCTACGTTAAAATGATACGTTGCATTATTGCAAAGGGAAAAGTTAATATAATTTATATATATATAAATATATA